ATCTACCAACTCAATGTTAAACATATTTACTTCAGAACTAAAATTTTCGAAAACTAAAAAAAATAAAATAAATAAAAAGCCCTTCTTTCCATCCACAAAAACATTTCACATGAAACTATTCCCACCTGGTTGATGATGTGCACACAGCAGTGCACGTTTCCAATCCGATGCCATACAATACATTTGCGTCATTTTCTCGTACGTTTCCTTCATCTACAATCAAAATTGAACCAATAAATCTTTCTTATAAATATTACTAAATGAGAAGAGTGAATTCTGAACAAACGATTATATGAATAATACAAATGAGAGAAAAATGAATGAAGAGATTGAGTTGCATGAAAATGAATGGAGATTGCGTTGAAACATAGATACAGTCAGTGACGACATGAGCATTGCCTAATAAAATACCAATAAAATATAACAAAATATCAACCTCTTCAGACGGATTGCTGAAAATTCCACTCGCACTTTGCGCAGTCATTAGAGAAATATCAGCTAAAGCCGAATAATTGGCAATATTTTCGGCGTGATTGTGAAGTTTTGTTAGAATTTTTTCACATTCTTTTGACGTTATTCGATTATTCAGTTCCAAATCGGGCACATCACGCCACAAGAAACCCGTTTCAATGCATTCAATGATCATTTTCAAATCGTCCGATTTATGAAACATCAAAATCGCCTCTTCATAGAGTCGCTTACGGAACAAATGCATGCCAACTTCTTTGCAGATACGCTGAAATTCAAAAATCAATCTTGTTGAATTCCATTCAATATTTCAATTAAATGAAGAAATTATCAACACTATTTTCTCCCATCTCTCACAAACATGACAACGACCATTTTCTGGAAAACACTAAACATTACTAAAAATTTATCCTATCTCAAAAACGAAAACAAAACGAATCATCCCTTCAAATATAACACTTTATCTCGATAAATAAATATTTAAACTCATCAGCTTCCTCTATAAACTATCCACATCACTGCTACTCTCACAATCAATTTTATTATTCAACAATCACGTTATCAATTAAATCGACCGAAATACTCACCGAATAATGTTTACGTCCTCTATAAACCAATAAAGCTTNATAAATCTATTCGATAATGTTGATATGATTCTGGATGATATGCTCGCAGTTCATTCAATATTGCCAAATATTCCATTGGATCCTTTAAATACCATCAATTACCATCGACGATTCCCAATTGAAAGCGACGTTCATTTTCATAAATTCAATTTTAACAATTTCAACGAAAACTCCCACTAAAACGCAAAATCTAATGAAATTTCATTCCATCAGAATTTCACATTAACTGGTGAAAAGTTATCACATTACATACTAAAAACAAAAAAAACGCCAATATTTCAGATGAAATTTCAAATAATCGACCACAAATCAATCACAAAATGAACAAAACCATCACAAAAAATACCTGTTGTGAGTACTGTGCAGAGATCACTGCCAGTGGTATATTATAGAACGATAATGCGGCTCGCATCAGATTCGCTCGAGGCATTATCATCGCTATATACTCTATCCATTTACGTTCGAAACCCTTTCCGTCCTCCTCTAAAACAAACTGACACTCAAATTCAAGTCAACTGCTCATCATCACTATTCTTGCTCTACTATCCAAACTCTTTCATTATCACTATCATTACTGTTATCAATACTTTTATCATTAAAAATGTAGAATGCTTTTGATCATTATCAACTTTCACTAATCCCTATCACCAATTCTACGAACCATAAGTTAAAAAGTTACGTTTTGCAGAACGTTCACTGATATCGCACAGTGCTTCACCAATCTGTGGAGGATCCATCTTCAGATATGTCGTTACCAAAACTCCATACAACGAATTCACCAATAACTCTTCATCTCCCATACCCAACAAATACTCTCGTATTCTCGTACAAACTGTATTCACCTGCAATTATAATTTCATTCATAAACAAGTCAAAATTCGAAAACAAACCAAAAAACAAAAAAATCTCTAATTTTTTGTTTATCAAACGAACCTTATTGGAATGTGAATAAAATTCACTCGCTGAATATTCCTCATTACGATCGTAAAAATTCCC